GACAGCGGCTCCGCGTCCTCCGGGGTAAGGAGACATGGGGACAGGGAGGGGGCATGGGGACACAGGGACATGAGGACAAGGAGGGGGACATGGGAGCATGGGAACAGGGAGGGGATATGGGGACAGGGATGGGGACATGGGGACGAGGAGAGGACATGAGGACAGGGATGGGGACAGGGAGGGGACAGGGACATGGGGACAGAAATGGGGATGTGGGGGCATGGAGGGGGACGTGGGGACAAGGGGACAGAGATGGGGATATGGGGACAAGGAGGGTGACATGGGGACAGGGAGGGTGACATGGGGACAGGGAGGGGACTGGGACATGGGGACAAGGAAGGGACACGGGGATAGGGAGGGGACACAGGGACAGGGAGGGGGATATAGGGACAGGGACACGGGGACAGGGATGGGGATGTGGGACAGGGACATGGGGACACAGAGGAGACACAGGGACAGGGTTGGGGACATGTGGGTGACCCCAGTGTCACCCTGTCCCTTGTCCCCAGGGTTGATGGCTCCAGCGGTGACCTCGGACCGGATGCGGTGGCATCAGGACCCGGTGGCATCAGGGTGAGTGATGGGGGAGGAGGGACACTGGGGGTGACATTGGGACCCCAAGGGTGGCCTGGGGACACTGAGGGACCTGGGGACACTGGGAGAGACTTTGGGACCCCAAGAGTGGCACAGGGACACTGGGAGGGACATGGGGACCCCATGGGTGACAATGAGACCCCAAGGGTGGCCTGGGGACACTGGGAGGGACCTGGGGACACTGGGACGGCCATGGGGGGGGGACACTGGGGGTGACACGGTGACACTGTCCCCAGCACGGTGGCCGAGGTGACAAGTGACACCCATCTGCTCCCGGGGATGGTGGCCCCGGTCCAGCGCAGCGGTGAGTGGGGACACTTTTGGGAGGGGACACCATGGGGACCCAGGGCCACCCTGAGGGCCACCACGTCCCCATTGTGGCCTCTGTCCCTGTCCCCACAGCGGCGGCCTCAGAGGTGACGCACGGCCCGGTGACAGAGGACGTGGTGGCGCGGGGCAAGGTGAGGGGGTTTGGGGACACAGGGAGGGGACACGCGGGGAGGTGGCATCGGGAGGGGGTGTCAAGGGAGGGACACGGCTCTGGGGGGACAGGGGTGGCTGCTGTCCCTGTGTCACCCCTCGTGTCACCCCCAGGCCACCCCCTATGGTGACTGGATGGGTCCTGGGCTCGCCCCCTCATGCCCCCTTGTCCCCCCATGTCCCCCCATGTCCCTGTGTCCTGTGACACCCCCGGGTGCCCCCCATGTCCCCATAGTCCCAAGTGTCCCACAATGTCCCCCCCGTGTCCCCCCAATGTCCACTCATGTCCCCAATGTCCCATGTCCCTCAGTGTCCCAAATGTCCCCTCAATGTCCCTCCTATGTCCCCAGTGTCTCCCCCAGCCCCCAGTGTCACCCAATGTCCCCCAAATGTCACCCAATGTCCCTCTACATGTCCCACATGTCCCAAATGTTCCCAATGTCCCAAAT